GCATCAAGGGACGTTAAAGCCGAGCTGTGTTGTTGCTCCTAATACCACTTTCTCTTCATGGGGGAGCGGAGCAACAGTCCCGTAATGCTGGGTCGACAGTTCTTGTCGTTTAGTCGAGGGCCTCGCGCTTCGTTGAGTAGGACTGTGATTTTGTTGCTTTTCTCTCCTAAGCTTTTCTCTCCTAACTAGTGAGAGCACCGATACTACGCGGTCGCGGTGTTCTCGGGGGTGTGTGCGTGTGTGCGTGTGTGTCCTGGGAGGAAGGGAATGCATGCGATGTGCTGCGCTTCGGGCTCTAGACATGGACGTTCACGGACACGCGAAAACATCCATGGCTTGTATCCGCCCATGCACACAAGGGGATGGATACATCAAGACGCTTTCACGCTTTCTTTTGTCGGGTCCGCTGAGCCCGATCTCGTGGGCGGAAAACATGGCTGGCTTAGTCTTGTCTGCCGGCGAGCATACATACATGGATGCCAGGTGCATCAAGGATCTTGGGTGGCGGGCCAAGGTGGGGGAGGGGGAGAACGACATCTATGCGTCAACTGACTAGAGAGGTCGACAAGTTACGTTACTAAAGAGGTCGATATCCTTTTGGAACGGATCAAACCCCCATCAATGCCACTGACTGAAGGCGTAATGGAACGTAAAGCTTCAAACGAGACGCGGGATCAAGCTGTGGAGAGAGCAAGACGAGCAAAGGAACTGCGACATATGGCGGAATGGTGGTAAGAAAGCACAAAAGACCCGTCAACAACTATCCAACCGATAGCCTCCCCGCAGCTCATCCCGTAAGAGCAAAGCTGTACGTGGATTGATAAATGGCCAGCGCGTCAACCGTACACGAGATGATATCAGGCCCTCAAACTTGTTTCCCTTCCTGCCTTCCTCGACGCTAACATCCTCATCCAGGGGTAATCGGTGTCTTTATGCCAGGCCCTTGACCCCCTTCCCCCTCTCATCCGTTCTGGCAACTCCCTAACCTTGGCTCCGGGCCCTCGGGTACGAGATAGACAGTTCTTGCGCGCTTTCTTTGCTTACCGCCTTTCTTAAAACTCTTCCAGCGCACCGGGCTAAACGTCCAGAGAGCACACCACCTACACCTTCCCACATACACTTGACGCATGTACACGTACACGTGCACATGGGTGATGCGCGCACAAACGTACACATAGCCACAGGTAAAAGAGAACCGAAAAAAAGAAGAAGAAAAAGGAATCTAGAGAGGTGGGAGGTGGGAGCACGGAAAAGGTGAAACGCCGATTGGGCGACGGCGAAGTGTATCCCTGCTAGTCATGGTACAATTAAGACGGGACAACTCATGAATGCTTTTCTTTTCTCCTTCTTTGAAAGGGTGTAGATTGTAGGGCGGATCGGAATTGACCGGCAGTGATTAGTATCCTTTTCCGAATCGGCGCTCTTCCGTTCGGTAGCCATCTTTCTCGGCCCATGTTGTGTCCACAGGCCGATGACGTTTTCTCAACCAGGGGCGATTTTGTGAAAGAGCTGAGCGGGGGAGGCCAGCCATCGTCCTCTGCACTTTACTGCATGGCGTCAATCTCGGGGACCATGGTCATCCCTGAAAGGTTGCAAAAAGTTCATCCCGTTTCGACGAGTTCAGCTAGCTTCCACCCTCCCCTCGACATCCTCTCTCGACTATTGGAGAAAATCAAGGTGGAAGAGCCCGAGCGCCGTATAAGCCACTGCGAGAGAATGTCGAAAGATCAAGGCTACATGTACCCTTAAAGGCCACTTCTTTTCTCTTTTCTGGATATATATACTTGGCCTTGGTTATCGGAGAGACGGGGCCTATTGACGAAAGACATCCAAAAAAGAATACAATATCAGATCAAATAACAAGAAAAGACGGCCGAATGCAGGGGATATGCTTATCAGTCACCTTCACGGGCGTGTGCACAAGTACGCTTCCGAGAGGCGGCGAAGGAGACGGCTCGCTAAACACCCCTCCCGCGAGACAGTGGCTGACAGATCGCAAAGGCCAACGGGCGGAGTAGTTACCAGGGTCCAAGTGGCACCATGCGGTTGAGAGGCCCAGCGTCAAAAATGTCGTGGTCGGAGAGCAAAGTTCAATTAGGCGCCGCCGAAGCAAAAGGGTGACGGAGAAATAGAAAGAGGGAGTGGGTGGGTGGGGGTGTGACCGTTGGAGTGCGAGTGCGAGAGAAATATGGAAGGCGTGAGAGAAGACGCTGTACACCCAAGCCAAGTAGAAGCAGATGTTCGATGGCGAAAGGATCCATCACTTGTGCATCTGGAACGGTGACATCCAAGTATCGGCCCGGGAGGGCCTAGTTGCGCGTTGTGATACCTAATGGCGCATCTCCATGAAGAAACTTTTTCCGGTCCTTTCCAATCGATCTCTCAAGTTTAAAACGGCCAACACCCTTCGCATGTTGGCACGTCCGTCCATCAGCTTCGAAGGGCCACAGGAGAGGAAAGAGGGGTGCGGAGACTTTGCCCAAACGCCGGCCCGGGCCATCCTATCCATGGATGTAAAATGGTGGAGCCCAGCTATCAGGCCTTCATGGTGCATCGTCCAAGGTGGCGCGACACCGCTGGTGCCCCCGTCTTCCCGGACGTCGGGGCCCAAGTGCGATGGGGCGTACGCGTGCTTGGTCGACTGATGCAAGCGGGATTTTTGTCGAGCTAGGTCAGAAGATGGTGAGCAATATTACGCTTGCATGGACGGAGCTGAGAGATGATACGCCCCTAGCTGATAGCGGCCGGGAGGGAGGAAGATCCTATCAGCCTGAGTATCAAGCGGTGAATGGAAAGACCTCGATCCCTTGGTTGGAACGGCTGATGGGGACGGCCACAGGGGCCCTGGGCGAAAAAGCATCGAAGGCGTAAACACTGCCTCATATCTATGGCCGCAGCGAGACGATGTGGGAGTCTCTCGCCCATCGCCTGTCCCCTTTCCTTCTCTTACACCCCATCTCCGCGGTGAGTATCTTTATATGGACCCGGCCTCCGGGGACCGGATCGGAGCAAGTGCCGCAGCACGGCGACTGCCATGTTAGTAGGGCACAAACCTACCTGAGGTAAGTTGAAGTATGATTACGCAGTCAATCTCAGCTCCGAAGAAGCAGAAGAAGAAGAAGCATAATAATAAAAACCATGATATTAATCGTAAATCGCAGCGAGGCCGTCAACTTTCTACCCTAGGCTTGGAAACTCTCGTTCCTTCTCAACGAAAGCTTCAAACGTGCTCATCTCCGAGTGCTGCAAGGCCCACCGCAGCGAGTTGTGGAAGGAGGGGCAGGCGCAGAAAGAGAAATCATACATGTAGGAAGAGGGAGCAGGATAAGGCTTGGGAAACCCAGGAAGCAGGGCGCGCTCTTGAAATTGCTTCTCGGCGCTTCCTTACGACGAAATTTCGTCTTCGACGCATCGGGCGCGGATACCTGCGTTGTCATGCCTTCTTGGGTATGTTTGCTATGTTGCCCAAGGATGGCCTGGAACCATTTAAACGGGGGCGAGCTTTTAGAGGGCCTACTAATGAGGAGACATTTACGGTATCAGGGCGGCCTTTCTGGCGAAGAAGCATCCCCTCCGGCCGAGGACCGCTGTCCTCCGCAACGCATCTCAGTATCCAAGTTCTAGGACCTGGGTTAAGAGTGTTTGTCACGTATCCATTGTGTAGCAGGACATCTGCCATCTGCCATCGCCAACACCAATCTCCGTGAATGGCTCTTGTCCCTCCGGAGCAAACAAGATCGGGAGAGGGGTTACTGATAGCTCAGGGGGACGAGAGGCGGAATGCTCCCCGTCTGCTCCCGAATTGATGGTGCTGGCACATGTATTTTCCGGGTCGACATGGAGAAACGTAGAAACCCTTCGTGTGTGTCCGTAATAGTGTATAAGCGCATAGAAGGCGAGAGACGCTAACGGACTGGGAAACACGAGGAACATGTCCCCGCGACGATAACAAATGCAGGGTTCCGAGCCACCTTGCTTCCTCCCTTGGACAAGCGTGCGTGATGAAGCACCTGAGTCCTCGTTCCTGTGGCCGAGTCTGGGGTCAACATGCCGAGGTACTCGAAAGTATGTAGACAGTACCAATCCGATCCGTTGTACATTGATAGATCAAGGTATGAAAATGGATCGATCCATCGATCCATCCGACGCATTTGATTTTCAAGGTAAAATCGCCAATCACCCGAAGCAGGCGGCATGTCGTACGTGTAGGAACAGCTGCCCCTCCCCAGCATTCCGGCAACCCAGGCAGGGCGGCTCTTTCCCTTGCCCCACCATTGCCCCCATTCAGTGGGGTAGCTGGGCTGTATCAGATCAACGGCCAATGGAAAGCCAGTAAAATCGTCAGAACGTTAGGCCCCGCTTAAAAGTTTAGCGTTGGCCACACTCAGCCTTGTTCTATTACAATGAGCCCGCCCCAGCACCCTTTGAACCGGCCCCTACACTAAAAGGCTACTGGCTGGAAAAAACCTGGTGAGCCCCTCAGCCTCGCCCAGCGGAAAAGCAAACAAGACCGAGACCTCCTGGCGCCAAAATCGACGAACTTTCTCACGGGTGAAATCGAGAGAGCGAGAGCTGTTGGGCCTATTCCATGCCGAATTTTGAGGGTTGAGTATGTCCATGAACAATTTCTTCGCATAGCCCTTTTCCTTTTTTCCCTTTCCTGGCCTTTCTCCTTTTACCGTGACGCGACCTGACAACCCTCAAAGCTAAACACGCACGCAACCGCCCAGCCCAATTTCTCCTCAAGCGACGCAGCCATTTGCCGACCCCCTCGAATTCTACTTTTTTCGATATCCTAGCCAGCACATCTGTAAGATTGAGCGATAAGGGGGAAATAACGGACTAGACCAACGGGGTTTTGATGCGGGTGGCTTGGGGTGCTAGAAACGCAGAAGCCTCGCCTCGGCTCTCCGAAGGAGCGGACAAGCGGCCCTAGCCGCCACGACAACCCACCCATTTCTCAACCCACCCGCTACTCCGCATACTTACCGACGCCCATCATGACGGGCCAGTCTCCCTCTCCCTCCGTAAAGATACCCACCGGTGCCGCGAACTACACACAAGCGACCATCGATCCCGAGCTGAGATCGACTTTAAATGGCCTTCTGCTCCAAGAAGGCCACGTTAGGCGGTAAGGCGACGAATCTGTTCCCAGGAAGATATTCATACCATATCATACCGGGTCCCCTTCCCTTTCTCGCCTGCTGCGGGATCCTCGCTCTTGTGGCAGAGCCCAAGCCAACCCCCACATCTGTGAATAGAAAAAGGCTAACATCTTGACTTCTTCTTCGCGTAATCACCAGGATCCAAGAGCGCCTTGTTCACACTCTAAATGCAAACGAGGCCAACTGGCCGACAAACATTCAAAATCATGCCCTCCACCTTCTTCGGTCCGGTGAGGTAACGTCATTCCCGGTCCTTATGAGGCGCGTATTGGAAGACGTACGACAAGACACTCAACAAGGCAAGGGCAAGGGGAAGCCAACGGCTCAGATAGCAAGTCGAATGGGGATGGAGGCAAAAGGCTGTCAACGGTGCCGACCAGAAGCCGAACTTGGCCCTTCCCCAAGCCGTCATTGATGAAGCAGTGAAAATCACGAGAGAATGTTTAGAGGAGATTGCCACTCTTGAGTGATAAAGACAGAAATCCTGCCAGGAGGCGGATACAAACCCAGAAAAGGGGCCTCAGCAATGGCCGCGTTATAAACCCATGTCCTTGCGGAGGAAAGGAAAGGGGATATTTAGAAAGAGCGTCTCCTACCGTCAGCCGATAGTTGTTCTTGGGGAGATCAGCAGCCGCTCGCGGTTGATTTTGACGATGCCTAGCAGAGAAAGGAGGTCATTCCGGAGGAGGGGTGGAGGGTGGGCAGGGATCGGGGAGAGAGAGATGGAAGATTTGACCTGAGCCTTTGTAGCGATACAGTTGGCATGAGATCTTCATAAGTCATGGCACCAGCATGGTTCCGCGGCGTGTGTACGTATTCAGTTCATTCAACGTTATGATTTTACTGTCTTGTAAGAGGCCTGTTTCTCAGGACATAACTGGTTGCTCTCTTTGAAAAATCTACCCCAAGCCAGACAACGGGCATCAAGTTCAAAACACTTGGTAGTCCGGTATCGAGACCGAATCAGTTTTGCGTAGACATACCTCGACAAACTAGCTGGACCTTGGACCCAGACAGCAAATAATATATGCGTATTGAGGTACACATGTTCCTACAGTCCATCCTTCATCCTTGATAGACGCCTCAACGCACGAAGCTTAAGCTCATAACATTGAAACCGATGTGATGAAGAATAAGAGTCGCAACCACCGCCTCTCATGTACAAATATCATATATATAGATAGATATACCTGGAAGCTTAGAGGAACCATGGACTTTTCAACCCTATATTACATGTGCGTGATACAACATGCTGGTCAAGCAAGGTGCTAGTCAAGGCAATAAACAAGGACTAAGAGCAATCCCAATAGGATGTTGATTTAACAGAAAGGCAGACAGTAAGTAAGTAGGTACTACAACAAGCATGCAGCCCTATTCCCTCATGGACCTCACTATTGTGTCAGTCGAGTCTCGAGATCTGAATATGCGGTGGGCATGGAAGAAGATATATGATAGATAGAGGGGTACATAAATATAAGGGAGGGGAGAGAGGAGGGGCTTTAAAGCAAGATACACAAGATACTAAAAGGGAAGATGAGATATGGGATAAAAAAATTGTGAACCCAGAGCGATTTGAACGCTCAACCTTCTGGAAACTCCAAGGAGATAAGACACTCCAACGGGTACTGGAATCAGACGCGCTACCGTTGCGCCATGGGTCCTATTGACTTGTTGCAGAGATACATCGTAGTGGAGGTTATGAAAGGGACACTATAGAAAGAGCTGGATTGATTGATGGATTAAAAAGAAGGGCATAGAGGAGATCCATTTATTCCTATATATGTATGTATGTGGGTGGGTTTAATTTGAGTTGAAGAAATTTGTGAGACAAACGTCGACGATTAACAAGGGCAGATGGGGACAAAAAAACATGAACCCAGAGCGATTTGAACGCTCAACCTTCTGGAGGCTCCAAGAGTCCTTTCAGTCCTCTACTGGAATCAGACGCGCTACCGTTGCGCCATGGGTCCTTGCTGTACATGAGGAGCTAAAGTGGCTTTATGAGCCCCTCAGTCATCTGAGATATAATAATGACTAAGCGGAAGCCAGCTTGAGCATGCATCAATGCTCTTTCTGTATTGGGAATATCGAACGACTCCACTAATACTTCGCAGAGGCTGGGGAAATAGAAATATCGCAATACCTCTCCATTTGGCCATACGCTAATATGGTACCCTTACTGCCTGCTTGTGTATCCCCGAAGAACACCTGGATACTTCGCTAAACGGATACTCTATAGCTTTGGGACTTTTAATGCTGCTAAAGATTATCTCCCACCGACTGAGTCAGGCCGATGGCGGAGCGACTAGCCTTGTTCAGGGGCCTGAGCTCACCTCAACACCGATTAATGTGTATTTAGTATTTCCAAAGTGTAGAGGGTGAGGCGGATATTCACTGGGGAAAAACCAGCCTACTGCTCTTAAAAGGGTCTCGAATGCTGCAGGTGTGGTTCCAATGTTGTCAGGGCGAATATATCTTGATCTTGGCCCTGGAAATGACAGCTGTTCGATTGACTAAGCTCGATTTCTGAGCTCCGCGCGATCGTAAATGCCTGCGCATCAGTCTAGCTGAAGTCAATGTTTTATGTACTTGCGTGGTCTTCTGTTACGTACTCTCCGCTGCCTACATAGTGTACAATGTTTTGGAACGCATTGGAAACTTCCACCCCCAAAAATTGGCCACCGACACTGTCGCTTATTAAGCCAGGCACCACCGATGACAGCTAGTGATTGGCTAGCCGTGTAGCTGTGCTTGTTTCGCCCCAAGGCCGAAGGCAAGCTGTGGTGTCCTTGGAGTGACCAACTCCCAGTCGACCTAACATTCACCTCACCTTCCCCTTCCATTCCTCAAACCTTCTCCCCATTTCATATCCCAGCAATTCGTGGGTGACGATATAAACCATCGATCCCCATTGTGCCCTTCTTATTCCTCCATCTCCGCGATCTCACGTTAACAACATCTGCCGTCCTCCGGCGAACCCACCAACGTCATCGGTTTCCCCCTCCCTTCCTGACCTGACCACCTCATCTCACAAACGGACATCGAAGCCGCCCAAGATGTCGGATCACCCTGAACACAAGAAGAAGGTCAATTTGACGTATGTATCCCTCAACTGTATCGCGATTTCGACAAATCAACATGACTAGGTGATTTACTGATGACTCCTTTTTTCGTATCGACAGCGATCCCTCGGGCGCCGAGGTCAAGCAGGTTTGTCTATCCCCAATGCCAATGCAACACGAGTTCATTTAGCTAACCCGCCATATCAGGAAAATGATACTGCTACAGCCATTCTCAAGAAGAAGAAGAAGCCTAACCAGCTCATGTACGTGAAATCCTTCTCTCCTACACTTCCTTCCAAATATCTCCGGTATCTCCATGCTAACATATTGTTTTTGACAGGGTTACCGATGCCACCAACGACGACAACTCCATCATTGCCCTCTCCGAGGCGACGATGGAAAGCCTTCAGCTCTTCCGTGGTGATACCGTTCTTGTCCGCGGAAAGAAGAGGAAGGATACTGTGCTTATCGTCCTCGCCGACGAGGATCTCGATGATGGTAGCGCTCGCATCAACCGTGTCGTTCGCCACAACCTCAGGGTCAAGCATGGCGATATGATCACCATCCAACCTTGCCCTGATATCAAATATGTGAGTTGCCATTTCTTGGAACTACCTGTAGTGAATCCAAGTTGCTAACCCACAAACAGGCCAAGCGGATCGCCGTTCTCCCCATTGCCGACACCGTAGAAGGCATCACCGGCTCACTCTTCGACGTCTTCCTTGCCCCTTACTTCCGAGAAGCCTACAGGCCCGTCCGCCAAGGAGATCTTTTCCTTGTTCGAGGTGGCATGAGGCAGGTTGAATTCAAGGTCGTCGAGGTAGATCCCCCGAGTACGGTATTGTTGCCCAGGACACAATCATTCACTGTGAGGGCGAGCCTATACAACGAGAGGATGAAGAAAACAACTTGAATGAGGTGGGCTATGACGATATTGGTGGGTGCAGGAAGCAGATGGCTCAGATTCGTGAGATGGTCGAGCTTCCCCTCAGGCATCCCCAGCTTTTCAAGTCTATCGGCATCAAGCCTCCTCGAGGTGTTCTCCTCTACGGCCCCCGGTACCGGTAAGACTCTCATGGCCCGTGCCGTCGCCAACGAGACTGGTGCCTTCTTTTTCCTCATCAATGGTCCCGAGATCATGAGTAAGATGGCTGGCGAGTCGGAATCCAATCTACGAAAGGCCTTTGAAGAGGCGGAGAAGAATTCGCCTGCCATCATCTTCATCGACGAGATCGACTCAATCGCCCCCAAGCGTGACAAGACTAATGGCGAGGTCGAGCGTCGTGTCGTTTCTCAACTCCTCACTCTCATGGATGGCATGAAGGCCCGCTCCAACGTTGTCGTCATGGCCGCAACTAACCGCCCCAACTCGATCGACCCCGCTCTTCGTCGATTCGGTCGCTTCGATCGTGAGGTCGACATTGGTGTCCCCGACCCGACTGGCCGTCTTGAGATTCTCCAGATCCACACCAAGAACATGAAGCTTGGCGACGATGTCGATTTGGAGCAGATTGCTGCCGAGACCCACGGCTACGTTGGTTCTGATATCGCTGCCCTTTGCTCAGAAGCCGCTATGCAGCAGATCCGTGAGAAGATGGATCTCATCGATCTCGACGAGGACACCATCGACGCTGAGGTCCTCGACTCTCTTGGCGTTACCATGGAAAACTTCCGCTACTCCCTTGGTGTCTCCAACCCCTCGGCCCTTCGCGAGGTCGCGGTCGTGGAGGTTCCCAACGTTCGCTGGGAGGATATTGGTGGTCTTACCACTGTCAAGCAGGAGCTCATGGAGAGCGTCCAGTACCCCGTGGACCATCCCGAAAAGTTCCTCAAGTTTGGCATGTCTCCCTCCAGGGGTGTTCTTTTCTACGGTCCTCCTGGTACTGGTAAGACGATGTTGGCAAAGGCTGTTGCCAACGAGTGTGCCGCCAACTTCATCTCCGTAAAGGGACCCGAGCTTCTGAGCATGTGGTTCGGTGAATCCGAGAGCAACATTCGTGATATCTTCGACAAGGCCCGTGCCGCCGCCCCTGCATCGTTTTCCTTGATGAGTTGGACTCGATTGCCAAGGCCCGTGGTGGAAGCGTCGGAGATGCCGGTGGTGCGTCCGACCGTGTCGTCAACCAGCTTCTCACCGGTAAGAATTTCTTTCCCCGCCCATTGTGACTCTCGAATTCCTAATCTAGACAAAATGCTAATTTTACACGTGCAGAAATGGATGGCATGACTTCCAAGAAGAACGTCTTCGTCATTGGCGCCACCAACAGGCCAGAGCAGCTCGATCCTGCGCTTTGCCGTCCCGGTCGTTTGGACTCCCTCATCTATGTTCCCCTGCCTGATGAAGAGGGTCGTCGCAGCATTCTCGAGGCCCAGCTTCGCAAGACACCTGTTGCCGCGGATGTTGACATTGGCTTCATTGCCTCCAAGACCCACGGCTTCTCCGGTGCCGATCTTGGCTTCATCACGCAGCGAGCTGTCAAGCTCGCTATCAAGGAGTCCATCTCGGCCGACATTAAGCGCACCAAGGAACTTGAGGAGGCTGGCATGGAGGTTGATGAGGAAGAGACTGGCGATGACCCCGTGCCTGAACTGACGCGTCGTCACTTTGAGGAGGCTATGCAAATGGCCCGCAGGTCCGTGAGCGACGTGGAGATCCGCCGCTACGAGGCCTTCGCGCAACAGATGAAGAACGCGGGCCCTGGCGCATACTTCAAGTTCCCCGAGGGTGGTGTCGACACTACTGGCGGCAGTGGCAACAACTTTGGCGATGCTGGAAATGACGATGATCTCTATGAGTAAAAGAGCGTCGGGCGGGTAATACCAGGTAGAGGCACAAGGTGGCTTGCGGTCGAGAGCGATACAGGCTCTTTCATGTTTTTCCCGGATGATGCACACAGGGCGGGCTTAGTTAGACGTAGGGCCGGTTGTACAGGTAGACTTTTTCTAAACGTCTTTTTTTCTCGAGAACTTCGGTTTCAAATGATTTAGCAATATCACTGTGAGGAACCACGCCGCTGTTTCAATGCCTTTCGTCGCGACACTCTGTACTGGAGGTGACCCTCTGTTTGGTCCTACCTACCCACCGACCGGCAGCTTGATTCTATGATTTGCGCCAACTAGAAGTGTACTGGTCTAATGCATGACCGACATAATAGCACCACTTCCAATTCCTCTCATCCGTCAATTTGTGTTCATCCTTGATGCAGCTCGTCCCATCTATGTCATATTAGTACTTCGTACTTGATGCTCCAGACTCTTGCTGGATGCCCCGCCCCCACTTTACTTAAGCTTGGCCAACCTCGCATTGCGGAAACCCAACTTTGAAAGAAATAGATCTCACACCAATTACTTCTTCAACCTCTTGCACAATGCCGGTAAGTGTCAGACAGAATGGCTCTGTCGCTGCTTGTAGCTACTTAGGTCTGTGCGACTCCTGCACGAATAAAACCTGACGAATTATCCATCTAGCTAATAATAATATCTGGCCTGCCCACCTCGGGCAAATCGACTCGGGCTCGACAACTCGAGGCCTACCTTCGCGCGCGAATCGAAGGTAGTGAAGCTAGTGGGACCAGCGCCAGTGGGCCACCCAAGTACCGTCTTCACGTTGTATCGGACGATTCCCTCGCCATTTCGCGGGCCGTGTACGATCTCTCGTCCGTGCCGGCGCACGCCCGGTCGGCCAACGCATCAGAGAAAGACGCGCGGGCGGCGATATACGGGTCTGTAAAGAGAGTGCTCTCGGATAGAGACATTGTGATCCTAGATGGGATGAACTATATCAAGGGATGGAGATACCAGTTGCACTGCGAGGCCAAGGCCGTGCGGACACCGAGCGTAGTGCTGCAGATCGGCTGTGACCCGGAAAAGGCCAAAGGTGTAAACGAGGAGAGGCTAAGAAGGCGGGCCGAACAAGAGGGTGCGACGGACGAAGATGAACAAAAGGGGCCGGCAGAGAAGGGTGAAGCCCTTCCGGAAGGCTACGCCCCGGCCAACTGGGAGAACTTGGTTTTCAGATACGAGGAGCCGAACCCCATGACGCGGTGGGATAGTCCGCTCTTCGCTCTCGTGTGGGATGACGGAGAGGAGAGGACGAAGCAGGTCTTTGACCAGCTCTGGGACGCCATTGCGGGGAAGGGCGCAAAGTCATAAAACCCAACCAGGCCACGGTTCAAAGGGGCCGTGACGCCTCGGGCGATTATCTGTACGTGCTGGACCGAGAGACGCAGGAGATTGTGAAGACGGTCTTGGAGAAGCAGGAGGAAGGTGGTGGCGGGCAGGTCAAGATCCCGAGAGTGGTCGGGGCCGCGGAGGGGACGACGTCCTCGTAGTGGAGCTACCCGGCGAAAAGGTGGGCTTCCCGAGGCTGCAGCGGATGAGGAGGGCGTTTATCGCGCTGACGAGGGGCGGGATCGGCCTAGAGGGCGTGGGGAATCTGGGGGCGGGACGGATACGGGAGAGCTTTGTTGGGTACATGAATGATACTTTTGAACGGGAGGGATAAAAGGGAACAAAAAAAGACTTGGGTTTGTTTAAACTTGTTGCAGCTTTGAAAGCAAAACCAAAAGGGAAAACTCTAGAAGGCAGGAGGGAAAAACTCAAATGGGCCAAGATGTGTATTTGACGGGTTGGGGTTTCCTTGGGCGATGACTTGAAGTTTAGATTCTTCCACAATGATGATACCTTACAATCCTCCCATGCATCAACCAACTTGCTTCTTCTCTTTCCGCGCCCTCAACTACAGTGAATAAAGGAGTGCAACAGGCAACTATGGGGATCTTGGAACCACTCTGTATTCTACTTGATATAACCAACTAAATCCTCGTCAATGATCTCATCAATATTCATTCAGCGGCGCCACATCACATCTAAACGCAACCCAAAAATGCAAAGTAGCCGGCTCTTCGCTAACGCCGTCTTGAAAACAAAGCTGGCTACATGACGATACAGCACGCCTTCTCCAGCTTTTTGAAGAGAAGCCCCAAGAGGTCCGTGTCGTCCTGCTGTTGCTGAGGAGGCTGGTGATGCTGCTGCTGGCCGCCGTGAGGCTTTCCGTGATGCGGCTGCGACTGGCCCCTCCAGTCTGTGGCGGGCGATGCGAAGAGGAGCCGCCGGAACCTCCAAGGTCAATGTAGATACGGCCCTCGTTCTCCTCCGTCCGATAGCTCAGACCCATCTCCCTGCAGACCTGCTCAACCCTGGGCTTGATCTTCTGGACGTGGTCGGCCGAGTGGTTTCCCTACCGACGATGACGTGCAAGTGGCTTGCGCCGCGGGACCGCTCGGCGCGAATGCGCTCCTCTAGGATGTTCTCGGCCTCCTCGACAAACTGGCCGTGGAGGTCGATGCAGTCTTCCTCTACGCGGCCCGCGGCGTTGTTTTCGCGAAAGATGAATTCGGACGCCTGGCGGTTGTAGTCGTCCATCTTGGCCGCGTGGCGCTTGCCCTCGTTGGAGAGCTCCTTGGCCCTTGCGCCGTCGCCGTTCTCATATGCCTGGCGGGACTGTGACGTGGAGGGCAAGACCGGGACCGGTCGGTTGCGGGCGTTAGCTTGCAGGACTTGGTTGACCGACGGCAAGCGCCGCTTTCGGACTATTGCTCCGGGGGTCCTCCGACAATCTCGCTCCTTGCATAGGGGCTAAAAGGGATTGGATAGGAAGATGGGTGGGGGAGAGGCTAGATACGTACACGCGAGAAGCAATCATTCCGCTTCTTGGCCTCGTCGCGGGCGAGGTCCGTAGACGGTCATACTCAGCCTCGATATCTACGCTGGTACGGTGGTTGAAGGCTAATAGTGGTTGGAAGCACCCGCAGTTCCCGCGTTAGCCGAAAGCTCACTTCATTTTCACCCTTTGCCTCTCCTTTCTACGCATGTTCAGATATTGGCGGGCCTCTTTCATCTGATGTTCCGTTACCCACGCCCGATTTCCGAGGATGAGATATGCCCGGTAGCAGAATGGAGTTCGAGAAAACAGTCAGGGGATCGAGAGGAAGGGATGAGACATACCGTTCCCGCCTAATCTAGTCAAGGGAATGGACATTGGATTTGCTTAGTTTGCCAATTACTGACGCAAGGGATAGGTTCGCGAGGAATGTGTGGAAACGAGACGAGGGTTGGAGAGAAAACAACTGGCTATGCGCGTCTTTGCTCTGTCCTTTTCGCGTCTCTTCTCCTTTACTTTCTCTTTTCTACTCTTCAAAAATTATGCCTACTCTGACGGGTTCGCAGGACGTCGTGGAGGTTGTCGTCGTCGTTCGTCAAGCCTTTGGCATCTGCTCTGGGTCGTCGTTGGAAGGAGGACGCCACAGTGGATGCTAGACGCGCAACACCAGCAAACACCGCCACATCACCAACAATGAGCGCTTTAGCCAGCGCAAGAACCCTGGTGATCGTCGCGGCTACCAGCGCTCGATTCGCTGGAAATATTTGGCCACGACGCTCTTCTACATTGGCCAATCTTCTCTGCTTTGATTGATTTCCTCGGTTTCATTTTCTTCTCTTTCTCGTTTCGTCCGAGGGCCAAACTCTCAAACACATGGGTGAATTCCTGGTTCCTCCCGTCAGAAAGCTGGCGGCTCAGGGGACCAGCAGAAACAGGCTAGCCATCAGCACCCGCGCATATAGATCAATGGATCCAGGGCCATGGTTACTTTCTCTAGCTACGGTGGGGCTTCCTTTCTTTTCTTCGACGGCGAGTTCCACGGTGATTTGAACTGAGTAATGTCCCTGATTGATTTGAATTCTCTTCACCTTCAGCCTCCTTTTCCTTTCTTTTTCTTTTTTTCCTTTTTATCCTCTGGCATCCATGCCTTCGAACAACAGGGCTACGCATTTATTCTCGGGTGTTATTATCGAGACGTTGTCGGATCCATTAGCGATCATTGATCCCTTGGAAGTCACGTGCCAGGGGATTCAACCTCCATGATCCGTCTGGATCATGGATGAAGGAGCTTCTCGACAAGGATGGGCTACTCATGCTCAACCTATCATCGGCGGATGTATTAGGCCTCCAACGAGGTTACGATGGGATTCAAGAGTATATTATACAAGTACAAAGAGATAGGTTATTTTAGAGGGGCCTGAACCCCGAGGGCAAGCTGCGTTGAAGCTCTTTCAAGCCAGTGCCGAAGGAAATTGCGCAGAAGCTTCTCCGACGTCGAATACCACGCTAGAGTTGTACCTGGGCTGGCCACTTGGCGACTCATGCAAGTTTTGTTGCTGCAGCTCTGCTGCGTCGGTAGGGTTGTACATACGTGCTGCGTGGTGGTGACTAGAGGGAAGTTACCCCTTGAACCGTCGAGTGCACATGCGAAGCCTGTTTGCTTTACTTGGAAGGTCCACAATGTTCTTGACAGCAACAAGGCACGCCGTGTTAGACAGGCTGGGCGAGGCGGAGGGGCCAGGACGGGCAAGGGCTCGGGTCAATCATCCTGCGATTACGCCAGTCGCCAGAGCAATATTCTTTTGGGTATTTGCTTCTATTAAAGCACGACACTTCCAAAGGCGTAATCTACGAGGAGCTGGATTGTGGGACTTGCCTGCATCGCCAAGAACGCTGGGAAGCAACCCCGGTTTCTGCACGAGAGATTTCGAATGGAGCCACGTGCTACGAGGCGCGTCGAGGCCATCTCCTTGAGGAGTTTTTATCATCTTGATTGTTGCTTTCTTCCTAGTCCTCTCGGCTTCTTTTCTTCTCTCCTGCAGCCCCGGGACGACGCCCATTCGGGAGCCTTGATTGGGTTCCACCTGCGTGCGTGACTCAGGACAACAAGTGAACAAGCACTGGTCCTCGGAAGCAAGCCTAATAACACTAATCACAACAAACTTCTTGCCAGAAAGATCAGTGCGGGCTGTGTCTAGCCTCATCCAAGAACATTAAGTTGGGCCTGGCAATTCCGGAGAAGACAGGGTTCCCACATGGCCAATTCCCTCCCGCAAGGGGGCCGAGGGAGGAGCGCTGCAAATGCCAATTTTTGTTGGATCTTTCTCGCATCTTTAATACCAGTGTAGTTAGAGGCGTTTCCCAGTGAAGACCAATTCACTTGACTATTCTCGCTGGACCCATTCCTACCACCCTTTCGGAACCTAGCCGCTTGCACTGGACAGCAAATGGTATATCAGGCTTGCGCCGGACGGCTGATTGGGAAGGAGGAGCATGAGGCTGCGAGTAGCTTTGTTCTCGGAGGCCGAGTGCCTGAAGAAGAGAGCACTTTCGATGGACGCGGCGCTCTAATAAACGCAAGCCGCCGATGGCAGCGCAGTTTGCATCAATGGTGGCCTCCACTCCAGACGCGCTACCGAGATACTTGCGTCGATCATGCTCAATCCCATTTCGAAGAGAAGAATTATTAGCTTGATCGGGAGCTGACCAGGGAGGTGTTGAGAGCGATGATAGGAAGCGAAATTTGCGGTTTCCTAATGCGGAAGGTTGAGAAAAATGGCCTAGCAGGACTACACCCGAAGGAGGAGTTGGCCCTGGTCTTGGAATGGTGGAGTGAGAAGGGGCGGAAGCGACGAAATCTTAGTGTAGGAAAATGAACAAGGGTTGCCATAGTCGGGAAAATGCCAGCAGAGTCAGGAAATCTCCAAAAAGTTCAGGGATCAAGGGGACTCGTTGCCGAAGGGCCGTTACGATATCACGTTGTCTCGAGGCATAGATTTTTATCGCTCTCTGTATTTTCCACCCCGGATGGTTTCACATCACTTCTTCGTACTTTTTACTTGTAACACTCCTCCGAGTCTTGATACGTTAATGCATCGACGGATGTGGTCCGGCTCAGTCAGTAATCAGGGACTATGCTTGCAATCTAGGCCTCGAGATGTCCATCCCCAGGTTCAGGGAAACGCGGCTGTGGCATGACAGCGTTTCGTCAACTCGTGCACCTCACGTAGCAGTTCATTCTTCGGTGGCCTCGTGCCAACTACCTGCGACGGCATAATCAGGGAGGGCATCAACGGAGCTTGCTGATTAGCAAACTGGCAAACGTTCTTTTTGCGCCCGGGGCTAGCTATTATACGGTTTCTTGGGTATGGTATGGCATGCTGGACAAGCAAGAGACATCTGTCTGATTAGAGCTCAAAACTACAGAGGAGCCTCCAGCTCCGGAACGAGGGCCATGCTCCGAAGTGCTGATCCGAGAAGGTGCGGCTTGAATGGTCTGTGGTGGTGCAAAGGGCCGTTCCCAGATGGCTTGCCACTAAAGCACGATGCCGCCATGGCCTTGGGGGCCGCTGAACCTAATCACGGCCACGGGAGCTTGAACACGGGTTGGGAGGTTGCCGGCCTCGACGGTTGGGATCGGAGTGTAGAGAGAATGTGGCAGGCGAGATGTTGGAATGAAGCTCGTGTTGTTTCTGGGCCATCCGCCATCTGGAAGGATCGCGGATTAACCCAAATCTTCTCGTCGGACTTTGGCAATACTTGGTGTTGTAAGGGGGAATTGCGATGATAATCCATCAACGACGGCGTGCTCTCGGCACTTCACATAATACGGGCTGCAGTAAATCACAGCCAATAGCTTGTATCATCGCCCGAGAGAGATTGAGCCTGGAAACCATTACTGCTCCTGCCCCTTGTGCGGGCTGGAAGTTTGAACGCATGGGACATGGGGGATCAGAGGGCCTGCGGATGGTTGTCCCACACAACAGGCATAGAATATCTGCGGTGTGCGAAGCTTGCCTCCTGTTGCTCTAGCCCCAAAGCTCTTTTCTCTAGTCAGGTGGAATCGGCCGATGACGATGACGGGAAAGGCAGGTGGAGGGAGTAGTGAGGTGGAGACTCTCCGTCTCAATGGAAAGCTCGAAAAAGAGTGCTTCGGCGAAGAGCGAAGCCAGCCCCTGCAAGAAAAAGTAACCAACTTGAAGTAAGCCCAGGAAAGGGGAAAAGAGCGTTGGAAGGAAGAGAGCCCCCGGTCCCTGTCCCAAAAGGGGTTTCTTCACCAGTGGGGATGCCCCTTGCTCGCCCAATCGAACCAAGCTGATCCCCCATTTCATTCCCCGACTCCACGCCGAATATGATACAAGGAATAGCACAAGCAGCTGTCGAAATGGGTGGCGCCGCAGAACGTCGCTTTCTTGCATCAGTGACTTGGTTCACGTTGGTGGAAATGCCAAGTCTGTGGCGGATTTGCTATGGAGGGACGGGGAGACATCAACAAAGAGAGAGTGAAACCCAGTGGTATTGAAGTGAGCCGAACAGATCTCTCCATTTCTTTTCAAGGAGACGCAACGTGCCCCTGTGGATGGAACTTGGAAGGAGTCCTGTCCTGGATCGATGGATGGGGACTGGAAAGGGGGCGAGGGCTTAAAGAGGGAAAGCTGATGAGGCATCACTCCGGGAGCGGGCTTTCTGCAGTAATCCTCCGAAGGAAATCTCGTTCTAGATGATGTCGGAAGAACAATAACGATCCTTTCATCCATGCGCGAAGCCTGTCTTGCCTGTCCTGTCTACACTACCTCTCCTGGCCCCGGAACGAGGTCAAGGCCAATCACGAGAGCCCCTTGGTGAAAAAGCGCTGGACCGCTGATGGCAGTGGATGAGGGGAGCGGAGATTCGATCGGCGGTGCCGCCCCTTTCTCGTCTGTCTGCAAAACTGTGGGGTGGCGACGCCCCGTTGTCGATCCTGGCCCAACTCGGTTCTTGTCCATTGGCTCGAGGCGTTCCGACCTGTTGACACAGGTTCGATCAGGACCGCTTGCCCGAGACCCCGCTCATGATACAAAGGACGGTTCTTTGCGCGTGTTGGCCAAAACGGGCGGATGGCGAACGACATTTCCCAAGTCCCCTGCGATCCTCGGGTCCATCTTTTTTTTTTTTTTTTTTGACGCATGCACTATGGCGACCCATTCTATCCTCGCCAAGCCGACCACTGAGGGGAGAGAAGAGAGGTTAGAACCCCATGCTTCATGGGGTATATCAGAATCAGACATCGAACTTGCGTCTAGTAGTATAGTCAAGTTTTGTCCTCAGGGAGGGGTTGGGCGTTCCACGTCCATTTTGAGCACTTCTCTCAAACGGTTACTTTGAAGCTACGAGATTGT